CCTACCTCTCTGTCCCTCTCTGTATGTCTGGCGAGCGCACGCGCCCTATAGCAAAAACCTCTTCAAAAAAAAAAAAAAAGTCATGTCACCTCTCTCAGCAACCAATCAGAAAGCCTCCTCCAGTGGCTCGTGGTCCCCGCAGGGAGAAGACTAAGCTCCTGGCTGTGACAGGGCCCCAGTGGCCATGCCTGCTGTCACTCTGTGTCCTGGAAGCTGCCATGGCCGGTCTAGCCCGCGGAGCTCAGCTTGTTCCCGACGTGTCCCGAGCTGCTCTCCCAGCTCCCCTGGCAGCTAACCAATCCCTGCCTACCCTGAGCCCCTCTGAGGGCCGGAATATTGAAGGGGCCTGGTTCCCCACCCCGCACACCTGTTCCGTTCACGGATATGCGGCCAGAGCCCAGCATCTAGTAGGGCTGTACTGTAACCTGGCAGGTCTGGGCTGGGGTCGGGGAGTCTGTGCTCACCCACGTTCCCAGGTGACCAGGAGCCAGCCCTGGGTGTCCTAGTTATGTTCCCTTGGCCAGAGACTTGCTACAGACGTGGGTGCATGTAGGTGAGGCTTGGGGGCGCCAAATGGATGCTCTCACAGCACTGGGGCTCCCTCCGAGTGAAGGGTGATAGCGGGAGCCCTAACCTCCTGGGCGTGGGAGAGGTGAAGTCCCCTCCGGGATGCCTGGGAGATAAGAAACCCGCCTCCCCCACATGGGAGTAGCCCAGAGGAGGTGAGGGGAGGTCACTGCCCCAGGGCAGGCTGGAGGGGAGTTGCATGGGCTCTGACCTTCAGCGTGAGCAGCAGCTGGACGGCATTGGTGAAGGGCGTGGGAGTGGGCAGGCCCAGCAGGCTGAGGGCTCGGAAGAATAGCAGGTAGGAGAAGGTCCAGGCCAGAGCCAGGGCGTGACACGAGCTGGGTAGAGGCAGGAGGCCGCTGTATGCAGGGGGCCCGGCCCTCTTTCCCCTCCACCCTCTCCTCCCCAAGTCTAGCAGCGATCCACCCCTCTGCCCTGTTCAGAGCTATATGGGGAGCAGACCCAGGACCGAAGGGTGGGAGGTGGGCACGGACCACGCGACAGAACCGTGGAGGAGGAGGCATGGAGGACAAGCGGGGTTAGGAGGCACTTGAGAGGAAGACCCTTTGATCTTCTCTCTTTTCCTTGTCTCAAAGGTCCAGAGCCCAAGCTCGGGGGCGAGTAGGGGATATGGGCGTGCAACTGGTGGCAGGGCCAGGAGGGTCCTCCTCTCTCCATGCCACAGGATAGAGAACTGGACAGACGCACTGCCCAGCAAGAGGGAGAAAAATGGACTCGAATAACACAGTGGAACAGGCGAGAGACAAACGTCGTAGGCAGGCAGAGCTGACAAAGACCCAAAGAGGAAACGGGAGCTTCCTCCTCCCCCACCCCAGTGCTCACCAGGGCTGGGCCTGAATGAGGGCCCAGGTTCCAAGGATGGTGACCAGAGAATGCAAAGTGTGGGGGCCACAGGTGAACAAGGTGAGTCCTAGGCCTACGGCTGCTGCCCCCCATCTCTTCAGCCCAGGCCCTGCAGGGAGAAAGGACAACATTGAGCCTGGAACCTGCCAAGGGTCCCCCACTCTGGTCATGCCCCCCCAATTTTCCACTGGGGAAGGGAACCTGACTCACCAGCTTTCTTAAAGAGGAAGCCGATGGGGATGGAGATAAGAAGAACCACTAGATACGTCCACTCTTCAGGCGACATGGTCTGGGGGCGGGGCAGGGGTTCACAGTTAAGACCCGGGAGTCTGGTCCCCAGCTCCTCCCGCCGCGGGGATTCAGGAACCTAGGCGTTTCTTTGAGAGTCTAAGAATCTGGACTTGCAGCCTATCCTCCTTCGCCGATGGAGAAGTCTACCTCGGTCCCGCTCCTGAACCCAAGGCCACAGTCCATTCCCAGGGAGAGCCGGACCCCCACCCACGCCCCTCCTCCTCCTCCTCCTCCGAGCCCAGCCCCCGGCCCTTCTTCCCGAGGGCACTCGGAACGCAGGCCTCCAAACTCCACGTTTTTTTTTTTTTTTACCTCGGGCCTCCTCTCCCACCTAGAACCCAGACAGCGGATCGTGACCCACCGTCTTCTCAGGAACCCCCTCTGCAGACCCAGCCTGGTTTCTGCGCGCCCTGGCGCGGGTCTGATCCCGCTCCCGGCAAAGCCACAGGCGGTTACGCCACCCGAGCTCCGCCGCGCTCCCGGCGCCGCCCCCGCCCTCGGGCCTCCTCTCCCACCTAGAACCCAGACAGCGGATCGTGACCCACCGTCTTCTCAGGAACCCCCTCTGCAGACCCAGCCTGGTTTCTGCGCGCCCTGGCGCGGGTCTGATCCCGCTCCCGGCAAAGCCACAGGCGGTTACGCCACCCGAGCTCCGCCGCGCTCCCGGCGCCGCCCCCGCACCCGCCAACCTGCGGATCCGCAGCAACTCCTCCACCGTCTCC